TTACATCACTTGTGGGGAAAGTTTTGGAAAGTCTGATAAAGATGCTTTGCAAGGTCATTTAACAAAGTTTAGAATCTTATTGAATAGTCAACATGGTTTCACTAAGGGAAAATATTGCCTTACAAATCTTTTAACATTCTTTGAAAGGGTTACTGCTTATGTAGATGAGGGTAAGAGTGTAGATTTGGTGTATCTGGATTTTCAGAAAGCATTTAACAAGGTGCCACATAAAAGGCTTGTAAAAAATATTATCTCTATAGGTGTGGAGGATAAGTTAGCAAATAGGATAGAAGAGTGGCTGGATGGAAGAAAGCAGAAGGTTGTTACAAATGGAGTTCAGTCAAATTGGATTAATGCCACAAGGGGGTACCTCAAGGCTCAGTCTTAGGACCTTTCCTCTTTTTGATTTACATCAATGATATAGATGAAGGAATGGTCAATAAATCACTCAAATTTGCTGATCATATTAAGGTATTGAGTGTTGCTAACTGTGAAGAGGATGCTGCTTTACAAAAGGATTTAGATCATTTAGTGAACTGGACAAATAAATGACAAATGGGTTTTAATTATAATAAATGCAAGATAATGCATGTAGGTTATCATAATTTGGATGGAAATAACCTTAACAGTGTCATGAAAGAAAGGAATCTTATTGTAATAGATGATAAGTCTCTAAAGCCATCCAAGCAGTGTGCTGATGTTAGTGGTAGGGCAAATAGGATTTTAGGTTGTATCTACAGAACTATTGAATACAAGTCTAAAGAAGTTATAATTTCATTGTACAGGTCACTGGTTAGGCCACATTTGGAATATTGTGTTCAAGTCTTGGGCTCCTTAACTTAGGAAAGACACTGAATTGTTGAAAAGGGTTCAGAGAAGGGATACTAGAATGGTACCTGGGATGAAGGGATTATCATACGAGGAGAGGATAAAATCTCTCAAATTGTTTTCTCATGAAAAAAGAAGAGTTAGAGGGGATCTGATTGAGGTGTTTAAGATTGTAAAGAAAATTGATGGTGTTTATGCATCATCTTCTTTCATACTCAACAGTGAGAATAGTAGGACAAGGGAACACAAATATAACTTTTGGCAGGGTAGGAGTCATCTTCAGCTAAGACAGTTATTTTTCTAAGAGGATAGTTGGCCTTTGGAATGGATTGTCTTAGGATGTTGTGGAGGCAGTAAGTGAGTTTAAGAGAAAGCTTGACAAGTAAATGAATGATAAGGGCTGGTTTTAATATATTTTTTTAATTATTTATTAATAGTTTTAGTTTGGTTTAAAGGATGAAACAATCGAGATGGACCAATAGGTTCCTTGTTGTCCCAAAACATTTTATGTTTTTAAAAATGTATAATATCATTGTTAACAATTCAAAATTTTCTAGAAGGAACAAAAATTAGCCAATTCAAAAGAAACATGTATTCCTATGTATTCACATGTGTAGGATGATAAATGTTGAGGAAAAAATCATATATTTCATGGGTTGAAAAACTAGAATCAAGATAAAAGAAACTGTTGAAAAAGTTTTTCATATATCATGATTATAACTGATGACTTTAAATTATTAGTTACCAAAATTTCTCGCAATATGGCAAGGATGATGTACCTCAAACATGTCAAGAGCGGATTTCAATTAACACCAAAAAATGACATCATTATATTGTGGTAGTATATGAAACATACCAGGTGTTTCTTTTTCTTACAGTTTAGGAAGGTAAACAAC